GTCAGTCAAACAGTGGGCTACCTACATAGAAAGGTTTGAACAATTTGTTGCTTCAAATGACATTGCAGATGAGAAACAAGTTGCGGTGTTGCTGAGTGTAATGGGTTAATCTACATACGGACTGCTGCGGAGCTTAATCGCCCCAGATAAGATATAATGACATTGTGACTGTTTTGAAAGAACATTTCTCGCCGAAACCGATCGTTTTTGCAAAAAGATTTAGGTTTCATAACCGCAGTCAGCACGAGACCGATTCAGTAGCACAGTATGTCGCAGTTCTGAAAAAGCTGAGTGAACACTCCTCACATAGTGGCTCAAATTGACATACTCATACTGGCAAGAAATTAAGAGTGTGAAAAAGGACGCACAGAGACAGTGCTATCAAAACACAAAAATGGAAAGGATTGGGCTTGTTAAAAGGTATCAAAGCCACAGTGTCACTCAAGCCACAGTCTCAGCCACGATTTTGCCAGGCACGCAATGTCCCCTATGCTTTGAAGCCAAAAGTTGAGGCTGAAATAAATCGTCTATTGGAGCTGGGGGTCATCTCCCCTGTAACATGCAGCAATTTGGCTACGCCAATCATGCTAGTTGTAAAAAGAAACGAGGATTAGAGGATTTGTGGTGATTTTAAGGTATAGTGAATCCTGCCCTTTGTGTTGAGCGTTACCCGATTCCACGAATGAAGGATTTATTCGCATCATTAGCAGGGGGCCAACGCTTCACCAAATTGGATCTCTCAAATGCATATCTACAAGTTTCCGTGGCGGAATGCTCACATAAGTGCCTCACAATTATCACGTCAAAGGGGCTGTTCTGTTACAATCGGTTACCATTTGTGATCGCATCGGCTCCTGCAATTTTTCAAAGGGCAATGGATCAAATTCTACAAGGCTTCCCGAACGTGCACTCTGATACCTAGATGATATATTAGTGACTGGGTCAGATGATGAGCAACATCTAAAAAATGTGGACACAGTCCTCAGTCGTCTGGATGAATTTGGGCTGTGTGTCCAGCGTGAGAAGTATTAATTCTTTAACGATTCGCTGGAGTACTAAGGGCATATCATTGATGCTCAGGGTCTTCATAAGTCACCGGAAAAGGTCAGGGCAATCGTGGATGCACCTGCACCAAAGGATATACCCAACTTTGTTCATTTCTGGGACTTTTAAATTATTACAGTCGATTCATCCTTAATCTGGCATCAGTGTTAGCCCCACTCAATGCTCTTCAATGCTAGCTCAAATTGAAAGAGAGACACTTGGTATTGTTTTTGGAATACAAAAATTTTACCAATATCTGTACGGGTGGAAGTTTACATTGTTTACAGACCACCGTCCATTGACAACCATCTTCAGTTCAACAAAAGCCATTCCATCCATGGCTGCTGCTAGGTTGCAGCGCTGGGCTTTGTTGTTGGCAGCTTATGACTACAATATCCAGTATAGAGACGGTGCAATGCAATGCAGATGGGTTATCACGATTACCTCTGCCAACTGCACCTCAAGTTAAGCTGGAAACCGTGGAGTTACTTCAAGTAAAGCAGCTGGATGCTCTACCAGTACTATGCACAGACGTCTGTAAAGAGACAAGGGCTGACCCCATTCTGTCACAAGTAATGGAGATGGTGGCAACTGGGCGTTTCCCACACGTCATGGATGCAAATAATGTGCTTGCCCCATATGTGTACAGGAATGATGAATTGACTACACAGCTGGATTTCCTCATGTGGGGTTGGAGAGTGGTCATCCCTCTAAAGCTGAGATCCAGGGTACTGGCAGAATTACATACTGGACATCCGGGTGTCATTAGGATGAAGGCGGTTGCACATATTTATGTCTGGTGGCCTGGTATTGACGTTCAGTTGGCAAAATCAGTTGGCAAAAACCTGTCAGACATGCCAGCAGACACAAAAAGCTCCTGGCCCCTCACCCTTACACCCGTGGAAATGGCCAGAGTTACCTTGGCAACCCATACATGTGGACTTTGCAGGTCCATTTGAAGGACACATGTATCTGGTAGTAGTAGATGCTCACTCCATATTTTAATGGCCCGAGGTTTGTGTGATGGATTCAACTACATCTACCAAAACCATTCAGGTGCTGAGGACACTGTTTAGTCGTTATGGACTCCCGGAAGTGCTGGTTAGTGATAACGGACCTCAGTTCACCTCCGAGGAGTTTCAGACATTTCTCAAGGCCAACGGAGTGACGCACACACATTCTGCACCTTTTCACCCAGCTACAAATGGTTTGGCGGAATGCATGGTTCAGACAGTAAAGTGGGCGTTATTTGTTCGAAAGGATCAATTTCCATTAAACAAAGGTTGGACACCTTTCTACTGGTGTACCGAAACACACCACATGACACCATAAAATAATCACCTGCCATGTTGTTCCTACATCGTAGGTTGCGATCTCGCTTTGATTTGCTGAAGCCGAATGTGGCCTCTGTGGTTGAAAAAGCTCAAGGCAAACTTTGCCAGTGACGTCAAGTTCATGCTAAAGAAAGAATATTTGCAGTGGGTGACAAGGTATTAGTTAGTGATTACCGTCGAGGAAAGAAGTGGATGCCCCGTGTGGTTTCAGCAAAGACAGGTCCAGTATCTTACATTGTCGATGTGGGACTTTCAGTTCACTGGACACGTCATGTTGTTTAGATCTTGGCACATCAGAATGACTGCGACAATGGAGATGAGATTGGTCCAGAGACCATTGATGTCCCTGAGGGGAATCTGGCAGATCTGTGTGAACATCCAATGTCTGGAGAGACATCACGTCCTAGTCTCGATCCAATTCCAACAGGATTATCACAATTGGAGATTCAGCCACAAGGGACACTGAGGTGGTGTTACACACTCCACACAAAGAGACTAAGCGCTATCCTGAACGTACCATCAAGCCTCCAGTAAGGTTTAGCCCTTAGGGCTTACCTTGATGGTATAAGCCAATTCCATTGTTTGCATGTTGACAGTCATGGTGCTGCATTTAATTTAAAAGAATAAGCACAGTTCATTGAACAATGCTGGTGTTTCATCACAGTTGTTCTATATTTTGGTATTACTATAAGTGTTGCATTATACAGGTGAATCATTGTGTTATGTTGTGGGCATATCTATGTATATGTGGACAAGTATAAAAAAGAGAGAGAGGGAGATACACAGTTTGTTCATGTTAAGTGTATGTAACATTGTTTCTGAAATGAATACAACAACACTAAGTGGGGAGGAAAATGTGATATATGCACTTAATGTTTTAGCGCACCAGAGGGCGCTCAAGCCAAGGCAAGTTTATTTATATAGCACATTTCATACACAATGGTAATTCAAAGTGCTTTACATTAAAGGAAGTAGAATATTCATAAAAAATAATCACAACAATAAAACAAAGAATTTAAAATTATTTAAAAAATTGATTTAAAATGAATTTTAAACAGTTAAAAATAGAAAATGATTATACATAAAATACAGTGCAATCAGTTCGGAAGTAGCACAGTGCTCATTCAATAAATGCACAGCTAAGCAGGTAAGTTTTGAGTCTGGATTTAAATGTGGCTAATGTTTTAGCACATCTGATCTCAATTGTGCAGATCGATCTTGATCGATCAAGATCATATTGTAACAACTGGGGGTTGTTCAACAGAATGTGGGGCTGTCTGGAGCTAAACTAGGCTACTAGACTGTTACTGAGCTAATTACTAGCATCTATGCAGCGCGACTTTTACACTTGGCTGACAGAGAGTGAGAGCACTCGTGTCCCATACACCGCACGACCATGAGTGTCTCTGGAAGCAGGCGCGCTGACAGAACAAACCAGCAGGAGGTAGCATTGTCTTCTTTATCCTTTTATTTTGAACACAGAATGAGAACTTGCAAAGACAAGGCCATACCGCCGGGTCCCTCCCTTACACACCTCTCTCCGTGATGGTAACGTCCACACTTGCACATAACAGGGCACTAAAATGAACCCAACCCACACGAACCAACCTGAACATAAACACGCATAACAATGCTAACACAACAACCCAACCATATTACTTAACGCATAAATCAGCTATAAACAAATACCCAAAATGCACCTGGCTGCTCGCGCTGCGTGCCAGGTCATTACAATATATATAAGATCACGCCTGTGTGTATGTTGTATTGTTAATAAAGAAGAAGACTAGAGAGTTCTCAGTAAACTACAAGAGTTAAAAAAGGCAATTGTCTCAGCGTATCCTTACTGTTATATAAACAGATAAGATATAACAAGATCAATCTGTTAAAAGGGTACTGGCAGGTGCCTCTCACTCCATGGGCTTCAGAAATTTCCGCCTTTGTCACGCCTGATAACTTTCTTCAATATACTGTCCTTGCATTCAGGACACGAAATGCACCTGCGACGTTTCAAAGGCGCATGCAGAAGATATTATCTGACTTACCGAAGAGTGATGCATATATAGATGATGTGGTGCTGTATTCAGACAGTTGGACAGAGCATATGAACAATCTTGAGTTATTATTTACCTGATTGTCAGATGCTTCTCTGACTGTAAATCTCGCAAAATGTGAATTTGCGAAAGCAGACGTGACATACATGGGAAAGAAAGAGGGTCAAGGAAGTGTGAGACCTATAGAAGCAAAGGTTTCTGCAATAATAGATTGGGTATTGACAACATGGGCATTGATCATCCTGTGTGCTATTTTTCCAAAAAACTTTTCAAAGTGCCAAAGTAATTACATCACAATTGAGAAGGAAGCTCTTGCTTTAGTGCTAGCGCTTCAGCACTTTGAAGTTTATTTGGGAGGTAGTAGTGGGCCCATTATTGTAGGCCGACCATAACCCTCTGTCGTTTCTTTCCCGTATGCGTAATGCCAACCAGCGATTATTGCGATGGGCGTTGGTTGTGATGAAAGTGATACCAAATTTATTTAAAAACTCTAATCAATAAATTACATGTATGTTCCCTCCAATCATAAATTCACTTGCTGTAGAGAGTGCATAAACATCCAACTGACCTGGAATCCATCAATGTATCAACGTCACAGAAGACCTTCACAATTCAGCAGTTTTCTGCTGTTAAACAAAATGATACATTTTATACAATAAATAAATGATGAGATAAATTTGTTCAGAAATGTTTGCGAATGATCCAAATTCTGTACGTAATTGTCTATTTTAAGAATAAAGACTTACAAAAAACTGTGACTCTTTTGTAATCCATTTATTGTTGATCATTCAGATATCAGATGCCACATTTGGTTGGGAGGGACTTATTCAGCAATAAATAGAGCATAATTTCTGAGCACAATCTTATTCACCTAGACACTCTTCATAGACTGCTGGTGTGTATTAATTTTCATATCTTCAATAGCAATTTTTGGTTTGAAATGTTTTGTCAGGGCATAATATTACTGATGTGATTATATATATATATATATATATATATATATATATGTATATCTATCTATCTAATCATATATATATATATATATATATATATATATAATCACATCAGTAATATTATGCCCTGACAAAACATTTCAAACCAAAAATTGCTATTGAAGATATGAAAATTAATACACACCAGCAGTCTATGAAGAGTGTCTAGGTGAATAAGATTGTGCTCAGAAATTATGCTCTATTTATTGCTGAATAAGTCCCTCCCAACCAAATGTGGCATCTGATATCTGAATGATCAACAATAAATGGATTACAAAAGAGTCACAGTTTTTTGTAAGTCTTTATTCTTAAAATAGACAATTACGTACAGAATTTGGATCATTCCTGTATAAATGTAACCAGGATGTTGCAAGTAATAATATGACTTTAACTATTTCATTAGTTCATGTTCTTGACAACAGCAGCCAAAAATGCAATGAATTTCATAATCTAGGTGATGAGACAGTGCTTTTGCTTATCTGTATACTGATTAATGTTTATTTTCAAGACTTACTGAAGCACATGTAAGAATGCGTGCACTGAAATGTGGTTGAATAAAACTGATTCACTGGCAGTGGTGCGGCTTTCTCAAATTAAAATCAGAATCACAAAAGATTATTTTAGTTACATTTACACATTTCGCAGATGCTTTTATCCAAAGTGTATTCAAGTTAGACATTTCTTCAGTTCATGTATCCCTTGTTCATAGTGAACAGAACCCATAGGATTTTTACTGCCATGCTTTGTTGTTTGAAATCCTGTAATCAGACACTTTATGTGTGAACATCTCGTGATCAATGTGTACGCAGTGTAAACAGTGTTTTTTAATTTCTCTGGTTGGGAAAATTTAGTTGTTTGGTCTTGTGTTCATTATGCTACGTTTTGCATCTCAGGACCCTGGCTGTTTGCCAAGCTTCTAGTGCCATTAACAAAGGTACTTCATACGATCTGCTCACTGCAAGTGTTTGTTCTTAGTTGCATCAATCTGAAAGTGGGACCAAAGCATTTCATGTAATTCAAATATAACTAGCCTACATAAAATGCCTCAATTTGGAGGTACGATCTTGGCTATTTTTTCCCCTCTCAACTCTTATAAAGGTACAGCAGATCTTGTGTTTGATCAGGGCTGTGGTGCAGGGTCTTACACTGCACGTTATGATCTGACAATGCAAATTAACTGACAATCCCTAAACAAACCACTCTGTTAGTGTGAAGTTCTTGCATGCACAGTTTAATAGGATTTGAGTTGTATTCATGTACAGTTCAACAGTATTTACTGATAAATGTATGAATGTGCTACAGTATCTTTGACATTTAAAAAAATATATTGAAAAATGATTAATGTTTTTTTTTCATGTCACTATAAAATGTGTGTTCTCAGTGTAAACAGTATTCAATTCTTTGAGTACATTTGCGTTGTGTTTACTTCCTCATTAAATAAGGAAGAAGCATGTAGCTCTCAGTAAATACAGGTGCATCTCAATAAATTAGAATGTCGTGGAAAAGTTCATTTATTTCAGTAATTCAACTCAAATTGTGAAACTCGTGTATTAAATCAATTCAATGCACACAGACTGAAGTAGTTTAAGTCTTTAGTTCTTTTAATTGTGATGATTTTGGCTCACATTTAACAAAAACCCACCAATTCACTATCTCAACAAATTAGAATACTTCATAAGACCAATAAAAAAAACATTTTTAGTGAATTGTTGGCCTTCTGGAAAGTATGTTCATTTACTGTACATGTACTCAATACTTGGTAGGGGCTCCTTTTGCTTTAATTACTGCCTCAATTCCTTGTTCCTGAACAGAATTTGCTTATGCAGGAACTTCTTATCATATAATCTAATGCTTACATCCTGATCGCAAGATCACAGATTAAACAGGGATCTTTAACTCTGTGGTTGGGTACATTTCAACTGTTTCGTTTTGTTTGCATTGCCACGTGTTTTGCAAAAATAACATGGATAATTTGATCTCAGAATTACAGAATTTGAGGTCTGAGATTTTGTCTAGATGCAATATTTAAATAGTGATTTTAAGTAATAATCACCAGTTTCATTTATATTAATAAAACATAAAACACTCCAAATACTTTTGCTGCTTGTTTAGTTTATTTATTTGAAATGATTTGCAACATTTGATTTCATTGCATTCAATTCACTTTAAATTGTAAAATGGAAGTTAACGTATAGTGCTTTTGAGTTGGGATAACATGAATGATTTTTGCTGACAGCTGAAACTGGACAGTGGATTTCCCAGCATGCTCTGCGTGGGATTGGATACGGGCTTCAACGGGCTGAAGCCCAGGGGCCTACACTGGGAAGGGGGCCCACTGGCTGCAAGGAAATTATATATTTTTGAATAATTATTTGAATATATGGGAATATGCAGCAGTGACAACAGCATTTTGTAAACAAACTCACACACTCATTTTCAGCAATGCCCTGTTTGTAGTTTATAGTGAATGGTTCAGTTTAAGTTTCCCCCACACAGTTTGTATAGTTGGTATGTTCCATGTATTCTACCGATATACTAGCTAGCGGAATACACAATGCATGCGCTAGTAAAGCCCAGCACGAGAGTTTTAATGAACTTTATGTTAACGTGGGGGCTACTGTAACGCTGTAGCCCATGGGCCTCTGGTTATCTTAAGGCGCCCCTGTAGTTGCCACAGCATAAACGAAACCGCAGGAAATTGAAGTGAACAAAGGACAGAGTTCTTACTGACGCAATCTGGATCTTCATTAAAAATAAAGTCCATCCACTCTTTCCTAATGTTGGCTAACATATTTGACCATGATTAACATGTTGCTTGCTAGTATGATTAAAATGTTGCTAGCATGTCATAGGTGGTGTTTTGTCAGAAACGGAGCTATAAGTTCGCATGAAACACACTGACATCTTCAACAGGCAGCCTAATAACAATATCATGAATGCTCAGCATGTTCACCTATACGGTTTGGTTACAAACATATACACCTTTTCATTTTTTTTTTTTTTTACATTAGTCTCTGCATGAACAAATAATGGCTTAAACATAATATTCTCACTTAACAATTAGCAAATTTTTTAGAAGCTGTCAATATGTTTTATACAATTTTTTTGTGTGTCTAGGTTGTGTCCGTATTGTGTCCGCACTGAAAAAAAAAACAATTTAAGTTGGTTGCAAACAATTTATTTTAGCTATATTAAAAAAAAATATATATATATATATATATATATGTTAAAAGTTAGTCAACTAGCCTAAATTTGTTTATTCAAATGTAGCTAAAATAAATTGATTGCAACCACTTACCAAAAAATAAAATAAAAAATTGTAAATTCAATTAATCTTTTTTTTTTTTAAGTGCGTTTTGAAAATCTGCAGCAATATAATTATTATTATGTATATATTATGATATACATTTTGACATTTTTAGGCTACTTAACGATTAGTTAAAATCCAACGAATAATTCACATTTCACCCAATCTTCAATTACAAAAACAGAGCTTAATCACAAGAAAATTAATATAAAGCATATCGACAACTTCAATAAGAAATATTATGCGCACACACACGGAAGTAGCGAAACATTTAATATTTGACAACTGTTTTATGGACATGTTAAATGACCAACAGAGTTCAGCAATGCAAACTAGATTGATTTTTTATTATTTTTTTTTTTTCTGTTTTGAATTGAAAATGAGCTGTGTCACTGTGCGCGAGGTACATGCCATCATGTCACAAACACCAAAGCAGTTCAATATACATATACAGCATGCACCTCTCTGACGTAGCCTACAAAAACCTTGCTATAAACATATATATATAATTAATTTAAAGGGGTCATATGATGCGATTTCAATTGTTCCTTTCTCTTTGGAGTGTTACAAGCTCTTGGTGCATAAAGAAGATCTGTAAAGTTACAAAGACTAAAGTCTCAAATCCAAAGAGATATTCTTTATAAAAGTTGAGAGTCAGCCACACCTACCTAAAACAGCTTGTTCTAACACGCCCCCACATGTCTACGTCACGATGTGGGAAGATTTGCATAACGCGCCCAAATGTTCACGCAAAGAAAGAAGGCGTAACTTTTATTCTCGCTGTAGTATTGTTGCTGCCGCCGCCGCCATGTCGTGAAGGCGCTGTGTGCTTCGTTGCGAAAGTGAAACTACTTTCTTTGGTCTTCCAAAAGAGGATGATATCCGCTTCGTCATGCCTGGAGCTGATCCGTGCTGGTTGCTGAGGAAATACAACAACTTCGCGCTGTGGATCATCGGATCGGCTTTCACCGTGGACGAAGCGGAGTCCAGCCCGGGTCGTCACATGTGCTTGCCGCTCCTTCGTCGAATCCGCCAGCCGCGCCGTTCTCAAGCCTGCCGCCTCTGCTCACGCTAGGCCGCCGTGTGTGACACTGTGTTTCGTTGTGTAAGCGAAACTACTTTGTTTAGCCTTCCAAAAATGGACACGACTAGAAATCAGTATATAATGTTTTTTTTTCAGTTATTGTAAAGATTTGCATAGGCATTATTATATACACTGTACATAATAAACATAATATATAGCTTAGTAAATTCACTAAACAGTAAGAAACAACAAAATATCTACTTTTTTGGATCAGTAATACAGATCAATAGCAATGTATATTTACACTTGAATTTATTCAGTTAATAAAATATCATTTCCATTTAGCAAAAAAAAATAAAAAATCTAATTTTCTTGTAGTACATTGAATTAAATGTTTAAACCAACACTGAACTGACTGGAGCTGAATTATGACACTACTGAGAACAAGTATGACTGTTGGATTTGCCTCAAAGTTTACATCATTGATTCTATTACTTTCCTCTTTATCACTGTGAAGCTGCTTTGAAACAATCACTATTGTATAAAGCACTACAAAAGTAAAGGTGACCTGACTTTATTAGCTGTAATGAGATGCTGGTCACTAGTTGAATTGATCGTTCAGATGGATCGAGCAATAACTTCCCTCAGCCGTTTTCAGTTTGTATCCTAATAAACTGCTAGTTTGTCTTTTGTTTTCTCAAGTTCATTAACAATGTTCTGTAACTGATTAATTAATTTCCTCATTTTAACAATGAATTCCCCAGCCTTTGTGTTCATCTCACTTTCATCTATTTCTTCATCTATGGGTGTTTCTGCTAGTTTGTCCATGTCATCGAGCGTCCTGGTATTTTCAGCTGAGATCATGTTAAACACAAGGCTGAACCCACCATAAACTTCTGAAATTAAAGTCATAGTTTCAGACACCTGCTTAGTCAGTTCAGCAACCTCTTCTATCCATATGGCATCTTGCTCTCCCAATATTTTCTCCGTACGCTCAAGAATGTCTTTCATCTTTTCAGCCATAGGGGTGGTTTTATCCTGAAATTCCTTCCGTTCAGATTCAATGCATTTTCTTAACCGTGTCATCTGGCGCTTTTTCTGAGAGCTGCAGCTTACACTTATACATCGAGCACTTATGAATGTATATATAGCGAAAGCAAGAACAACAACAGCAGCAGCAAAAAAAGCCCCTACAGTAAATGGAGCTAAAGCTAATCCTGCAACTATAGCAGCAGCTCCACCTATCCCCATCCATCCTGCAATTCTAGAGCCTTCAGTGGCACATCTGCAACCGTTTTCAAATGTTTTGATGATATGACGCAGTCTCTCTGTGCACTGCTGGAGCTGAGGGTGATCTTTCTCGTAGAGTTCAATAAATTCATCTTTGAGACGAATAACTCCAGCTCTAGAGAAAAGAAATATTAAGAGCTTATAATTATATATTTTACAATTTCAAATGCAAATGTTTTTTATTAACGGTAACCATATTTGTTGATAAGCAGATGTTACTTACGATACTTTATTCTAGATATACTGCCTGTCCAAAAACAAGTCGCACACTCTAATATTTTCTTGGACCGCCTTTAGCTTTGCATAATATTGTGCTTTCATTATGGCATTGTTTCGACAACATTATGCAATGTCACAACATTTATTTCCATCGAGAGCATACATTTTGTATTGACATTTGGAAAGTCAAAGCACTCTGTAAAGATCAGGACTCTGTGGTGGACCAATTCATACATGAAAATGATTCCTCATGCTTACTGAACCACTATTTCACTATTTGGGTCCAATAAATCTTGACATTGTCATTCTGGCATATGTAGCCTACATGCACGTCTTCCAGTGTGGTTGTTTAAGAAATGAAGATGTACACACGGCATCAGTTACGGTTAGAAGAATTGTTGCCAAATATACAACAAGCCAGAAACATGAATCACTGCAACAAATGAGTAAACCCTATTATTTTCAGTGTTTACTTACTGAAATGCAAACAGTGACTTTTTTTTTTTTTTGGTCAGGCAGTGTATTATGTTCAAGAGATATTTTAATAATATTGCACCATAATATAATAATGTAATTTTTGTTTAAACACCAGTCTCCTGAATCAATGCGTAGCAATGATTTCTCACATTATTTCGGGAGGTTCATCCATGCTTTTGCGCCGGTGGTGATGAATGGATGATGCCGTTGCAGCTGCAATTGAATAACAAGTTGGATACATTATCAGTTTGCATCAGATTATCTCATAACTATAAAGAAAACACATAATTAACATAACGGTTCTTTTATAAATAATACTTTATGCGCTTTTTATATATATATATATATATATATATATATATATATATGTATATTGTTATATTTTGCTATAGTGTGATAATTTAGTGTAATGCATTCTTTTGATTCCTAATACTGTCTTATTTTGCAACAAATACATTTTTGAGAATTAAATATCTTAAGTGATGTCATAACGGAACTTTTGTAAGTGAATTATTTTCTCTGATGTATCTACATCTGTTGTGCTTTTTCATCTTGTATTTTCAGATTTGTAGCATTTATTTTATTGTTTTTTACCTGCTACACGATTGTCAAATTGGTTCAATTTTTTCCCAGTGAAATCCGTCACATGATGTAAAGCCCCCTTATTTTTCTGTTCTTCTCCAGCTTTCCTCAGATCCTCCAGGTTCTTCATCCATTCATCTTTTCCCTCCTCCTTCAGTCTGGGAATCAAGAAATCCAGATGCTGAAGAGTGAAAGCGCTGTCTGCTTTTAATGCGATCTCAGACAGACTCGCGATGATGATATAAGCTTCATGCAGCAGTTTGGACTTTTCATTTGCAATCTTCTCCAGATCACTGATCAGTTTTTCTTCTATTTCTGTGTTATTCTCAGATTCTTTCATATTTCTTTCATGTTCGTTTGAAATAGTTTCATATATTTTTTTATCAAAGCTGGTTTTAGGCTTTTCACCAGTGCGTTCATACTCCAGTTTAAGCTCATGAAATGTCATCGTGATGGTCTTTGTCTTCACCACATATTTTTTATTCTCTCTGACATGTTCACTGTAATGACACTTTCCTGTACACACAGTGCAGTGGCTTTTTGTCATGACTTCACAGCTTGAGGGATCTTCCCAGCATTTCTTATGACAGTTTTCCTCACACACATTGCAGCAGGTTTGGTTTCTGCTCCACCACCATTCATCGTCTGTGGGGACTTTTTCTTTGACAGCGGTTCTGACTGTAAACTGAAAGTTTTCACATTTCTGAATCTTGTCTCTTTGCTCTTTAATGGCTTCCTGAATCGCAGTCAGTTCTTCAGTTTTGACCTCCTCCTCAGGGATTCGCTCCTTCAGATTAGAGACACAGGTCTCAAGTCGTCTTCGCTCTTTCAGAACATCTAATGTCATCTGAAGACTTTTTCTGTTCTTTTCTTCCAGCAGTGTCAAAAACTCATTCATGCTTTCGTCTCCCATTTCCCAGGCTGATTTCAAAACACTCTCAGACAGATTGTCTCTTTTCTCTTTCTGCTGGTTGTTGAATAAGAAATTAACAGGTTGTTTTTTCCCATCTCTTCTGCAGGGAATCTGGGCTTTCTTACTGGCACTGAGAGCATCTCTTGGATGTCGTCCATCCGAATGTGTGAACAGAAACACTATGTTGTTCTCTATATCTTTACCAAACAGAGAAAGAACTGAGTGAAATATGTAAAGCTCTTTTCCAGAGAGTCGATTCTGAGTCGCCTTCATCACAAAACACACTGCATCAATGTAATGAATCCCATCCTCATCTGAGAATAATCTGATCAGATACTCAGAAATATCTCTGTCTTTCTCGTATCCTTCAGTGTTTCCGTATCCTGGAGTGTCAATGATGGTCAGAGATGTTGGGTTTTCTTCAACAAACACCTCATAAACAGTGATCTCAGATGTCTGGGTTAATGATTCTTCTAAATCTTCTTCTTCTGTGATTTGGTAAAACTCTTCATCCTCAAACTTCACTCCCAGTAAGTAGTTGATCATGGTGTTGATGAGGGTGGTTTTCCCAGCACCGGTTTCTCCCACCATCAGTATGACTTTGTTCTGCTTGTTTCTGTCTCTTCTTCCATATGTCCATCGTCTGACCTTTTTTTGATTCCCATCAATATATGTTCTGTCTGTGTTCAGTTGGTAAAGTGCTGGAGGACCTGGATTCATGAGGATGGCATCAGGATGTGATCTACAAAAGACAGAACTGATTCAGCATCAACATGTTATGATCTCAATAAGGTATAAACTAGTATAGGGACAGATGATTTGCTGTGACAGGATCGTGGTTGTTTATGACTGTTAGTGTTGTTTCAGTCCTGAACAAAGTCAAAACAATATTGAATTAATATTTTAAGTCAACATATAATTCTTGTTCATTTTGAAACACTTTAGTCGTCTTTTTTGTGTGTGTGTCTCTTCCTTGAGAAGCTTGAGATTTCTCTTGTAGTTTTCTCCTGCCATCATTTACTAACAAGTCATAGGCAATATGGTAAATAATCACATTTTAGTTAAACACCTAATTATTTTGATTCTCTGAATCAAACGAGTTAATGAATAACAACAATCTCTTACGCCAATCTGGGAGGAACATCCTTGCTGTTTCGTCGGTGGGGCTGAATAGTTGATGACATTGTTACTGTGAATAAGAAAAAAATACATTCTCTGTTTGCATATATCAAATTATCACGTAATATAATTATGAGTTAAATATTAAATTATGAGGTTCAATTATATATTTGCTAGATCGCCAGTCTGTATTTAATTCAGCGTGCAGCCAGCAATTTCTTTGTTCTCATTACAGAATTAGCTATTTACTACCAAGTGGATAACCAATGCAATTAATAATATAAATGTATCAATATTTATCGTTTTAAAAATGGATTTATTCCAATTAAAAAAAATTGGAGGTAAAACATTTTATTCTAAACATTAGTGTAAACATTTTATCTCACCTTGTATTCATCGACGTATACACCACACTGAAAACCTTCACAACTCATCAGTTATCTGCTAAACACAATAATGTATTACATTTATTCAGGGCCGTCACCACCATAGACATTGAAAGCATACAATTAGTTTATGTTCCTCATTTTCGCTTTCAGAAGCGTGCTCTCGTGATCGCTATGCACTTCTGCCGAACACGCACTGAGAGCGAGCTCCGCTGCAGACTTCTACCCGACAGTCAAAGCGGCATTACGTCACAAAAGTGTGGACACACAAGCTGTGGCTTTGTCCAAATACCCACACTTGCAGTCTTTGCACTTGACCACTTGATTACTTAAATGATGTATTTCCTGTATTTGGCCGAATTCTTCAAGTGGGTGTGAAGAGCACAAGTGTGTGTACAACTTTTCATTACCTGATGGGACACACTTATAGTGTTGTAAAAATGCAAGTGTTTACACAGCTTTATTTTCATTTTAATTTGAAATACTTTGCATTTTAAAGTCAACTTCTAAATGTCTGTTCAGTCCATGATGCATGATGGGATACACTTAACCTTGAATAGCGCTCTGGAGTGTGGGTTTAGTGTGCGTTAAGGGTACTGCACTTTGGCATTTTGAAGACATGGGACAGACTTGCACACTTACTTCCTGTCGCGCGCACGCGCTCTCAAGTGGCCAAGACCGCAAGTGTGGGTATTTGGACAAGGGGTGTGTCTCATTTAGAAGGCTGCGCCCTCCGGAGGTCGCATTCAAAGGCCGCATACGTCATCGAGGCTGTCTCATTTCAGAAAAGCAAGTAGGACACTCCGAATGCGAC